GAAGCATTTAATAAAGAAAGGAGTTTTGCTCATCATATTCTAACCACAAGATTTTTTCGAGGGTCAGAATTCATTTCCATCTTAAATCTATTTTAGAGCGTTGCTGAAGCAAAAATCATCTTTTGCCTCCAGAGATAAGGTCAATAAATTCATGATTCGCATCTTTAGGCAATTATCATGTTTCACAATTCAGATGCCTTTCTTGTTCTGAATAAATTTCACCGAAAAAATGTTTGCCGGGCAAAAGTCCTGCAAGACATTTTGTATTCTCACTTCTCCCAGTTGAAATCTTCCATGTGAGTATCCGATCTTGTTGGTTTTTCCAGTTTCAGATGTTAAAGACTCGAATAAGTTCACTCGCGATATGACACATCACTGGGGACAAAGTGCTCATTGATAAGATGATAAAACGTGCCTGATTGTACTCATCTGTTGCATCAGTCGTAAAATGATAACTGGTAGTAATGATCTTCGTAGACGCTTTAGTTGAAGATGAAAGGCAGTGCGAGGAGGCAGGGTCTCGTGCGACTCGACAAATTGAAAGTGGACGACCAAAGCCTGCGCCAGTAACATTTCGTGGCGTAAGCTTCTCTCCGAAAGCGACAAGTATGCCAATGTTTGTTTAGTGCATATCGAACTTCTTGCTTTTCCGACAGTGTCGAGTGATATGCAAAACTTTAGACCTGGCGGACACTGGACCTGCATCCCCACTTTCACGATGACGCGCGCTATGCTATTGCACTACCGGAGCTGTTGTTCTTCTTCTACTTTTTCTGCAAAAGAATATATCGATCTGTCAGCAACTAACCCTCAATTTTTCGGGTTGGTAAGCACATATCGGCATAAGTGTTAGCAGAACAGAGGCCCCGGTAGTGCAATAGGTTAGCACGCGCCCCTGGAAACATTAAGATATGGATTCGATTTCTATTCAGAGCCAAACTTAAATCATTCTACATTATTGGATATAGATCTATAACACCATACCACTGCTGAGGTCAAAAATAAGAATTTATCCTTTTTGTGTATTGAAGCGCTAAGTAGAAAAATTTGCTACTAGCGCCCTCAAAAAACGTGGACTTTAAACGTCCGAGTAGAGTGATTGAAGGTTGAACTGTGTTAAATTATGCAGTCTCCGTGGTGCGCAGTGGACTAGCTTTATCGATTTGGATACAGGTGATATGAGATACTCAGGATGGGATACTTTAGTTGGAATCTAAAGCGTCTCAGTGTTAGGAGCACTGACGATGATTAGATGCTTCTATGGTAACTTAATTTTTTGCTGATATCCTGATGGTAGCCTTCTCAAGGAACTTCCAGGCTCATCACTCCATGTGGCTTCTAAGATTCTCAGTGTCTTCAACGATTTCCTTGAGCAAACTCACCTAGTCTCTTATTGCTCGGAGGCCGGTAAATATTTACTAAACTATTCTTAAATTTGGTCACTCTCTCTAGTCCTACATAGGATCATGATACCGTGGACGCAAGAAATCCAATAAACTGACTCAAACAAACGAGCACTCTACGAAATTCATAACGATGACAAGAATTAGCAAGCAGCAGCCAAACCCACATGCATTTGAGATTTGAAGAGTTGTGAGATCTGTGAATGCAAAGAAATGAATCATGCATAAGAAGTGCTGAATTCTCACTGTATAACACATGTGATGTCGGCTCGTGCAATAATAAAAGCAATTAGAACAGCATTACGACTACACTACACCTGCATTGAACACTTCAGCCCAAAATTACTCACTGATATCCAACTCTAAGCTTCAGCCGCGAATTGGGTGCCGGTTTCTTTTTTACCGGAGGAGGGTGCTACCCCACTTAACCATAGAGGTCGTAGCCGTGCTATCAATCCTCCTGCGATATAAAATACTGATGCAATCGAAAAACCGTCCAGTGAATGCTAAAAAAGCAGCAAAACAAAGAATTCTTATTGACTACTTTTGTATATATTCAGTAGCTATAACTCTAAAATGTGTTCAATGCCAAAATGTGCTCATCAAATCAAATCTGATTACGGTCGGTTACTGAGAGCTTCGATACCTTACATCGTCGAAAGAATTCAATTATATAGTGGCATGCACCTTATCATTACAAAATTATAACATTGCCATAAAAAGCATTGAATAAAGAACTCTTGTTGATTAAGTATACATATGTATATATATATATATATATATATATATGTATACATATACATATACATATACATATACATATACATATACATATATTCATAAAAAGAAAGAGAGGGAGAAAGGAGAGAAAAACTGCTTACATATATTCAAGTCCACCCGTGTGTTAACAACAAACCGTGAACAAGAGTGGTCACTTCTTGAATGTGTTTGAGAAATACCCTTGAGAGTGCCTATTCGATCTTATCACATGCCATGCTGGATGAACCTCCTGATATGGGAGAACCGTCTTCAAAATTTTGAATATCATTAGAGGCTGAAAGGCTTGATATCATGGAGGTCATCACAGAGCGATGAATCTTCGCCGAAAATGATCGTGCTTTTCTTCAAAATTCCTCGCTGCCAGAGAAATTGATGGGTCGACTAGACTTACTGGCACATTTAAATCGCACTTATCTCGCATAATTTTTTACACTTTACTCTCATAAGCAGCCGAACAGTCGGTGAACTCTTCATTTATGTTGAAAGCTGAGCATTGCGACCACCTACACAGCACTCGAGAGGGGTGATGAAACGATCAAGCGGCATAATCAACATCAAACAGGATGTCGAAGCTCAATCCTTCGTCACACAGTGTCACGTTGTAATCAGCTAACGGAGCACCTACTTAAGGCGAAACACCGATCGGCTTGTCGGTATGGCTGTGGTAAATATGTGGCAGATCTGCTGGAATGATTTTGGGAGGTTCCTCAACAAGTAAACAGCCCACCTCGGATAAAATCGAAAAGTATAGATACATTATGTTATCAACAGATTAATATGATGTTGCCACTACATGTTTCTCTTTCCTGAGGTTAACCTGTATATATGAATTTGGAACAGATGCATAAAATTCACGTAAATTATCATATAAACTGGGTTTTTACGAATTCCTGGGACGATGCATCGGAATGTGGAGAAAACTTACTAAGAATGAAATCGATAGTTGTTTCCGCTTCATACTAAATCTGAAAGATATCATTCAGCTCTGATCACTTTTTTAAAATCGCCTTTTCATAGATTGCTTTTTCTCACAGACAAAAAAAGGAGAAAACTTGTGGAGCCCAAGTTTCGGATTGTTCTGAAAAGCGGCATCACCCACGCTCCAGTAGTAACGTTGCATTCTATGGTGTTCTCAATAGGCAACTTCATTTTTTCAGTGTTTTTCCAAATTCGTTGCGGAATCTCAATTCAGATCACTGGACAACTACTGCTTAATGCCTAATTAACTTAGAGTAAATAAAACTCATGTTAAAAAAGAGCTTTTATTCCTAAGTGTTGGAAAATCTTGGACCATTTTGATTTTATCGTCTAAAATATTCGAGTTGACTTCACTGGGCTCTGCAAAACTATTAGCTACTTAGTTCTACAGAGTAAAGCGGAAGTGAAATTTTACGATCCCACTCCGTCACATGTTGTGGGCGTGGTTCTTCACTTTGTTATCATGAAAGTTGCATGGCAGTTAAGCAAGCAAACTTTAGCCTGGAACGTGTGGAATGGAACTGATAATGAATATGGAGAGGTTCGTACAAACAGTTTCCGCCTCGTGGCCATTTAGTACGCTGAGCACTGACCACCGATGATTTCTGCTGATTCTCTACCTCGATAAGCTGCTCAGCTGAAGTCGGAACTAGTGATGCCGACGAGATCACAGGACGTCTTGGAATTCGAACAAAACCGTCGCCGAGCCATAAGGAACTGAAAAATCATTGATAAGAGAAAGTATGCCAAATTTCCCATGTAAATCTCGTATCCCTTTGAAAAACATGGAAAATGATAAATGGAGCAGAGTACAAATTTAGGCAGAAATAGAACTGAACATGAATGAAAATGCCCTAGTTTGGAGAACAAATTACTTTTTATTCACCCAGCCGAAACTGAGCAATTCTCAAGCAAATTTTCGATTCAAAAATCTTTTCAAAAATTAGTTGATGAATGCCACTTTTATTCACTGCTAAGAGAATAGTTAGCATAACATTCAAACAATTGTCACAAGAAAAACCACGAAAGTTTACCTGTCTATAGCAATATTATAATTATTTATTACTAGTAATATCATTGTTTTCATATTATTGGTAATTGCCATTGTTGAATTGGTTAATAAGTTTTGCAGTGTTATTTGTTGTTATCTTCATTCATTTGCAACAAACTTGTTTCTTGGTCTTTTTAACGTGTTTTATGTCATTCGGAATGACGTGGTCCCCAGATTATAAATATGTTAACCATTTCATATTTCGTAACTGTATAAAGTTTTCTTTCACTTCAGAATCAATGCTCCAGAATATAGGATTCGTGAATGTCTCTTGAACCAACCAGTTGGATGTTTATGCTACCGAAGTGACACAAAACTTATGTAGAGCACTTAACCACCAGGCGGTTTGATTTACGAATTGTCGAAAGATGCTTCATAAAGCTTTGTGAAAGCCGTAACAATACGTCAAAATTGACTGCGACAGCTTCATGTTATTTTGCACCAAGACAACACTCGCCCACATATTGCTCGTCTGACATCGCAGAAGATCGAAGACTTACGGTGGGAACGTATAAATCATCCTGCGTGCAGTCCAGATACTGCTCCAAGTGACTACTATCTCTTTGGGCCACTACAACATAAAGTCGATTATGTGATAAAGCACTTATCTAAGTGTTTTGCTTCCAAAATGTCAGATTTCCATTGTCGAGACTTCGAAAAGTCACCACAAATTTGGTAAATCATTATTAATTTCAATGGTGCATATCAGAATGTTATTTGTTAATGTTAGTAGATAAATTGTTTTGTTACAATAAAGTCAATAATGTAGAGTGGTGTGGGAAAACGATCGCGTCAACTGGAATTTGAACCCGGATCTCACTGTTTCGCGGAGCGCGTGCTGAACCGTTGCACTACCGACGCTCGTTTTGCACAGCGCTCTTTTTACTTTACAACGCGTTATCTGTCAATAGTCAACCGTCTACGGTCTGGCATGGGCAGTCACTTATCGACATTAAACCCACTTATACTGACAGATATGGATTTCAATAATCAATCAGAATTCATTTAATTTGACCGCGTATTGCGGTGGTATGATGTTACAATAAACTCAAGAATGTAAAGTGGTGTGCAAAAACATTTGCTTCAGCCGGGATTCGAACCCAGATCTCACTCTTTCCGGGAGCTGTTTTGTTAGAAAGTTTTTGATGCGACAAAACTTAGTTGACAACCTATTATTTGTAAGAGTATGTCGTGATTTGAGTTCATCACGCGAAACGACACATTTCAAGTTTTGCTTGTATCTCAGTGCTTGTGATCATTCCATGTGATAAGAAATTGAAAATAACTCACATGTTCTTGCCATTGATTCTGGTTGATCGATCCGTTTCTGATAGTACGACGCTGAACTTTGGTCGAAACGGTTGCAAAAGGTTTTGTGGAACTACTTCTATTTGATCGGGAACGAGGAGATGCCTTGGATCGTAAGCACTGAGCTGCTTCAACTGATCAATTTTTTGATGACTCCAACCTGACGAGAGAGTTAGCAGCAGAATAAGCAGTGGCATTAGATGATATGTGGACTTCGCGGTGGTAACCGGTATCCACTGTCTGTATACATCGTCGTTCTCCGACGCTTTTATATGTAGATGTAAAATTATGCGACGACAAGCTGGAACGAACAAAACAAAGGCGTATATGCACAATGCTGACAAATCAGGATCGACGATATAAGTGAACACGTTCCATGCCATAAAATCGTATCTGCTAAGTTCACTATGAATCTTGAGAGATACTCGCGTTTTACAATACCAAGGACGAAATGAAAATCCAGAATATTATACGAGCTGATGACTGGCGTGCACAACAACGGTTCAGCACACGCTCCCGGAAAGAGTGAGATCTGGGTTCGAATCCCTGCGCACGCAAATGTCTTTGCACACTACTCTACATTATTGGGTATATATGTAATATCATGTCTTCGCTAAAAAGCTGTTAAATAAGAGGAATTCTTGCCGGTAAGATATAGATCCATTATTTGTCGGCGTAAGTAGGTTCAGTGGCGATATCGAAAGCTAGGCCAAACCGCTGACGGCTGATTGCTGACAGATTGATGCGCTGTAGCGAAGAAAGAATGATGGCAAAACCAGCGTCTGTAGTGCAATTGGTTGAAGCATGTCCCTCGGAAAGGGTGAGATGCGGGTTTGAGTCCCCGCTGACGTCAAAGTTTTGCACATCACTCAAAATCATTGGGTATATATGTAACATCATATCGTCGCTAAAAAGCTGTCAGATAAAAAGAATTCTCTCGATAAGATATGTACCTTACAAACTGTCCGTTTCTTTGATTGAAACTTGCTCGAGATTGTTACTTCTCTCTTGAAATTCGATGACTGACGCTTTGGCGACCTTGCCTTCGTCAGAGCCAAGACGTGAAAAACCATACCAAATCTGTTTATCCAGATAATAATTCGCATACGCACTAGAAATTATGATAGAAAAATAATTCCACAATTTGATTACTGCGCAAAAAACCATCACCGTCTTACAAAGGACAGTTCTTAGGATATTGTTATTTTCATTATTCAAGCTGATGTGTAGAGAGGGTAAGACTCCTGAGTCGAGGACATAGATTTTCCAGTTGGTAGGGAATGGTAACGATCCAATACGTAAAGCATTGACCGAAAAGCGAGGTGAAGCCACCTTGTCGAGCCTGCCACCAGGTGATGTCACCAGACGTCATAAGATGAGCTCGCCAAACATGATTTGACACTTTACTGTGGTAATTTCGGTGTATGAAAGTGGAGAAAACATGGGTGAACAACCTTTGCAGTACAATGGCAGGTGTGTGAGTTGAGGAGGGCTTTTTGAGGGCAACATGGCAATACTAAGCAATGCCAAAAGACTTTTGAGTTGTGGACATTTTCTACGGTAGCGTACTAGTGGGGTAAAAGTATATATGCGGATTGAGGACAACTTTCTGCCAAAACGATGCAATATCTATTTTTTTTTCTGGAAAAATGAAACGCATAAAATCTATAACAGGTCCACAGTTGGTTCCATGTAGAAGCCGTTACCCCGCTAAAAAGAAAGGCACTACTCTCCCAAATTCACAAACGTTGTTAGATGACGCTAGTACAAGAAATGCATTCAAATGGACGAAAATTAAAACGGAAAACTCAATTTTTTTCTAGGGTTAACGAAAAATTTGAAATAGATTCCGCAAGATTGCGTGAAATCGGGCGGGAATTTTGTTAACTTGGAGAAAATCGATCTAAAGTTGAAGAAAAAGTACTGATTTATGTTTTTAGATTTGTAGAAGATATTGTCAAGCATTGAAGCACAACGGGTAGAGAAACCAAGCAGTCATATGTAAACCATTTAACTCCAGAGATAACGAATCTTAGACTCAGTCCATTTCAGAAAATCATTCAATTTCAACGATTCGGAAGCTTTCTTGCAAAAAAAAAATTCTATTTGGTTACGGCAGCTATGAGGAAGTTTCGGATTTTGTCGGCTAGTTTCCAACTCGGGATAACGTTTGACAGCAAATCGCTCACCTAACCTTACAGGAGTTTTTTCACTTTCATATCACATTCTCCAATAGGAGGAACAAACTGGTGGTTAAGAAACTTATGGGACAAACGCAGGATCCGAATTTTTTCTTTTGATTTCAAATAAACAGGAATCGGCGCGTGTGTGCATTCTGCAGCTGTCTCGCCGTTCTAATGGAGATGAGCAGGGTTGCGCAACCCAGCTGTTGTTGTAGCAGAAGGTCGACGGAAGTTATCTACGCCGCACTCATGATTTGTCTGACGATAACATTCATTGTTTGGCGAAATTAACACATGCTTATATAATCGTGCAGAGAAACTTTGAATGATGGCAAAAAATCTTCGCCTGTTGCTTCATGCTGTTCTATTCCATTTTTGTGAAATCTCTTAAAACTGGAGCTTACAATTCGCGCCGTTTTTTTTATTATTCTTCCTTTCTGCAATGAAGCGTTGATATTGACAAAAACAATCACCTCTTTAGGCGGATTTTGTCTAGTTTTTCGAAAAGGTCGTTTGCCTCGTAGTGTTATTAGTGGGGATACCTATGGCGATGTCAGGGCCGGATCAGGGCTGAACGCTGTTTGTTCGATCAGCGAACGGTGACATAATAGCGAAGCTCTCGAAATTCCGCGATTCGAACTAACAGTAAACAATTGCCTAAAAGAGAAATCTTTATAAAGCGGTCACTACCTTCACATGGTGCGGCGGAATCTTTGGTCTTTATGTAGGGGTGCCTAGATGGTTCGTTACAAACCGTAACTAGTTTTGATAAGAGATGTTTTATCTTGTTCGTCATTCAACTAAAGATCATGTGTGCATGACTGTTTGCTCATCTGAAATGATATATTGCTGATAATGCCTTACTAAACAGAGATCACACTATTCATTTGTGTCATACAAATGGATAATGCTTCGACGATTCACTTGATATTGCGCAATTTGCTGAAATTGGTGGAAGAATGAAGGTTTTCAATAGCAGTCTACCGAGCTGCAAGATTATTTTCTCCAAAACAATTTGAAAACACGAAATTCTTTAAAATAATTTCAACATTGCATTTTGGTTGATCGTAAACACCGCAATGTTATTTGGACCTCACAAAGAAAGTTAGAACGAAATTTCTATGCTGTCCTCAAAAAGAAAAATCAATGAACATCATCAGTGCTAAGTTTATTAACAATTCTTTTCATTTGATAATTAACAGGAACAAGCCCACAAAAATGGATTTAACACAAAATATATGCGAGTAAAACAAAGTAAATCACGGTGTAATTTAATCTACCGCTAATTGAGCAAAGTGGTCGAAGACTAGTGCGAAATCTTCATGATGTTCACACGAATATAACAGAGAATCGTCCCTATTCAAGCTCTGATCAGTGCCTGCTTGCCTATCCAGTTTACCGAAGAGATTCGTCTCCACTGTTACGCTTTGATATGGTGTACATTTCTGCAAACGTCAGTCTCATTCTAATCTTGGTATATCTACTACGGTGATCTTTCGAGAAATTCAGACAATTTTGGTAATTTTGAAAGTGCAGTGCACATCGTATGTGCACAAACCCGCATACACACATCAGTGCACACTAGCAGAAGTCGGCTTCACCTGCCACGTTTCAACTTAAAAAAGTCCTAATGGAGCTGTTTCATCTTTGTGACATCCACGAAGTTCTGCCGGTTGGTTGCTTCGCCTGAAGAGTGCTCAGCTAAGTTGCTCTTTTGAGTAATGGTGGCAGGCGCGCTCGATAAGGCTGGAACCCGGGTAAACGCTCTTACGAGGTTCGAAACTTGCATAACACTCATCCTTTTTGTCTATGTGATTACGTCATCGCATCAAAGAAATACTGCAGAAAATAACCAACCGTTTAGGCAAACTGAGTTTTTTGCCGAGATGTACTGACCAGACCAATTGCGCTAATAGCTTCGATAACTTGAATCGCGAAAGGAGTGGTAGGAAAGCAATGGCTGTGCTGATATGGCGGCAGGACGCGTTCTCGATGGATGCAATGCTGGTTCATCTCCCGGCTGAAGTTTAGAATCTTGTGTACAAATCAGCAATCTTGAATAAGTAATTATAACGTTATAATAATGCTGTAATGGCATTAAAACAAAGGACTCTTGCTTTGTCCTCACTTTTTTGAAAGTTGAAAATATGGCATCAAGAGAGGTTCGAAACTTTCTGAGTATAATGCTTATGTAAGAGTTTGCCAGGTACATTTGCCTTGATCTTCAAAATCCAATTAAATGAAAGGAGTGATTCGATATAAGGCGTTATTCGCTTTATTTTAGTGAGGATGCCGCCTGTCCGCCCCACCTAAGAAACCCTATAACTAGCCCCGCCCCGCCAAAATCTCCACGAACTGTATGGGAGAAGGCTCATACGGTGTGGAGAGTGTGGTTATGTCTACTCCGCGATGGACAGAGCTTATTACGCTTCTAGTGTTGCTCACCACCACCGTATCCTTGGCCTCACCTCACACGCGGTATTGTGGACGAAAGCTTACCAAAGTTCTACTCGATCTTTGCGGATATGTCAATTCTCCAACTACAGGTATTATGAGCTTTCATATGCATGTTAAGTACTTTTTATTAGTTACCGAGCAAGAAAGCAGTAATGGAAAATACCATGAATGATGACTCCTGGCTGATAAAATCAAAATCAAAGGTCTGATACTTGGGGAAGACGTTTTTATAGTTGCTTATTACAATAATTAGAGAAGAAAGGCATGGGTTTATGTCAACCGCAAATTTCTCAAAAGTCGTCGTGTAAATACATACTTCACTCAACCAAAAAAGTGAGCTTTCCTGCTGAAAGAAAGCGGAAGATCTTATATGCATTGATGTTATTCGTTTCTCATGAAAGTTCTAGAAGTGAACAATTTTGTAAAAAAAAAAACAATGCGACAGCACTGTTGTTTCATGGTGAATCCCATTCGAAAATCGTTAGATGTATGCGATTTGTGAATCGAAAATGGGATCGAATTAGTGAACGAGTTTTTTTCGATCGCTTGAAACATATCGCGTCAGAACTGCATCGGTAGCATTTGCATGCTTCTATACTGTATGAAGGAGTTTCACTCTTTGAAAAATAAAAAGAAAAGAACGAACAAGAAATGAGAAGTGTTCTCTTGAAAAAATAAAGGAAAAGACTTGATAACGACTAATTTCTTTTCCAAAAATCTGTATCAAACAACATTCAAGGAACGCCAGTCGCTTCTGTACGGTGTAGCTTCATATTTGCTAAGCAATTATTATCACTTTGTATCCGACGAAATATAAGTGATCTGAACTATTATTTCAGTTTCATGATTTTTAGCGATTATTTATTTTTTTATTGCTTTTATGGAGTCCATAGTATTCCGTTCCATCTTTATCCTGCCTTCATTTCTTAGTGAAGTTTTTTATTATTGTGACTTCTTCATCTTCTTTCTTTTCATCAAATCGCTACTTTCACAGTAGAATACCGTTTCATTTCTCTTCAAAAACTTCTTGCTAAAATCGTTATGCTCATCAGAGCCACTATAATCAACCACATCATCTTCATTCCTATCGTCTTCTTCATTCTTCTTGTCCTCTTTCACAAATCACTCAAAAAGTTTAGCTGATTCTACCAGTTATCACCTTTTCTTATGCTCGACTATTGTTCAACTGTAGCAACCCTAGTATCTATTCGGA